GAAATAGCCAGCCCCACTGTAACTATGAATGTTGTGTATTTTAAATTGTTGTTTGTCTGTCTGTCTATTTATCCTCTTCCTTTGTTTATTGTAATCCGCCCGGAGTCCTTCGGGAGAGGGCGGCATGCAAGACCAATAAAATACAAATACAAAATACAAAAATATAGTTATGCTTAAGGTAAAAGTTCCCTTGTGCTAGTCGTTCCCGACTCTAGGGCGCGGCGTTCATCTCCGTTTCAAAGCCGAAGAGCCAGCGCTGTCTGAAGACGTCTCTGTGGTCATGTGGCCGGCATGATTCAACGCCGAAGGCGCATGGAATGCTGTTACTTTCCCATCAAAGGTGGTTCCTATTTTTCTACTTGCATTTTTTACGGGCTTTCGAACTGCTAGGTTGGCAGAAGCTGGGACAAGTCACGGGAACGCCCTCCGTTATGCGGAGCTGAGGATTCGAACCGCTGACCTTTCTGATCGACAAGCTCAGCGTCTTAGCCACTGACCCACCTTGTATGGTTATGCTTAGTGTGCATTAAGCCAACCCTAGTTCAAATCCAACTGGGTTCAAAACCCCAATTCCAGAAATTCATTTTAGGTCGCTTACTTTGTCTTAGGAAAAAGTGACCCTTATAGTGGCTATAAGATCAAACAAAGGTCGGGGGTGGTGGAATAAATTAACCAGCCTTCTTTTTAATGCTTTTCCCCACTACTTTTCATAACTCTGGCGCAAAAAGACCGTCAACGTGGCGCCCCCGTGCGACGCCGACCGATACCCGGAGCCGCAGCGCGAAGATCGACGGATTGAACCGAAGACCCGAAATCCGAGGCGAGGCGAGGCGCGCGCGCGCTACCCGAGCCTTCCCCGAAGCTCTTCGTCCTTTCCTCGCCAAGCGCCGGGCGTGGCCGTAGTGGGCGTCGGAACTTCCCGAAGCGCCTCGACCCCGCCCCCCCTCTTCTCATCGTGCGTCCGAAGGCCTTCCGGAAGAAGGCGGGCCCGAGAAAAGGAGGAGAAGGGGGAGGAAGGGGGAGGGTGCTCTCTCGCTCGCTGGCGGCCGGAAGTGAGCGGAGCGGCCGCTTCCGGTTTCCTCCGCGCTCGCCTCAGTCGCCCGCCCTGCGCTTTGGGTGGTGGCCGTTGCCTCCTCAGCTCCCGCCGCCCTTTTCTCCGCCTCCTCCCCGGGCCCTCCTCGCGGTTCCTTCCGAGGGAAGCAGCGCTAGCCCCGAAGCCCGAGAGGCAGCCGAGGCCGCTGAGGGCCTTTCTTTTCTCTCCTTCGCGCCCACGCTCGCCCCGACCGAGCAGCCGCCCCGATGCAGGCCATCAAGTGTGTGGTGGTGGGCGACGGGTGAGTGACCAAGCCCCCCCTCGCGTCGATCCCCTCCCCGTCCCCACTCCGGGGCTGAGGGGAGCTTATTCGTCCGGCCGGCGCTTGGCTGCGCCTTATGGGGGTCGGAGTCCAGCCATGAGGTGGGGGGAAGAAATCCAAGCCCCCCCCTCACCCCAGGCCTNCATGTGGATTTTAGTCCAGTATCTTTTAGCTTCAATGCAAGTCCACCACTTTTTTGAGGTAGAACATCCTAGAAAAAGTCATCAAGCTGAAGGTTTACAAGCCCATAGAAAGGAATAAGGGGATCACCCAAACTCGGAATGAATTTGATAAGAATAGATTAATGATTTTTATGTGCTAGTCGTTCCCGACTCTAGGGGGCGGTGCTCGTCTCCGTTTCCAAGCCAAAGAGCCAGCGCTATCCGAAGACGTCTCCATGGTCATGTGGCCAGCAGGACTCAATGCCGCAGGGAACGCTGTTACCTTCCCACCAAAGGTGGTTCCTATTTTTCTACTTGCTTTCGAACTGCTAGGTTGGCAAAGCTAGGACAAGTAACGGGAGCTCACCTCGTTACGTGGTGCTAGGGATTCGAACTGCTGACCTTTCTGATTGACAAGCTCAGTGTCTTAGCCAATGAGCCACCATGTCCCTTTTGATAAGAATAGACCAGTGATAATAACAGGGGGGGGGAGGGAATAGCATAGGTTTCTTAAATATTTACAAAAATGTTTTGCATGAACTTGTAAACATCAGTGCCAATTATAACTGGGCCTATACCTTTTTCTTGATTTTGGTCTTTATAATGTAAACGTGGGACTTTTCAAGAGGTGATGTGGAATTCGATTTTATTCTCTCCTCTTTTGCATTCTGCAACGTGTGTCGTTTTTTTTTCCAGAATTACATCAGCGGGATTACTCTGCCAGGCACACCCATGTACATTAATCATGCCTTTTGTTGCCATGCTAAAAATCCCCTGCACAACAGCTCCAGCTGTATTTTAAAACGGATTTCCTTTTTTTCTAAGAAAGAACGAACTGTCTTTTTTTTTTTTTTCAGAGTGGTTCGAATTGAGGAAATAACATTTGCCAGACTTACAATACCGACCGACTTTATGGGGAAAGAAGTGGTTTCCCTCACCCTAATAAAAGATGATTGAGACATTCAGTTTCATTTACATAAGTTTGGGTGGTTTTTTTAAATTAGTGTTTGACCCTCTGATGTAAAACAATGAAAACGTGATTTAAGTTACGGGAATGATTTCAACCTCGGAGTCCAGGAATACGGACAGATAAAAATAAGTGCATAAATAGTGTTACTGTTCCACTTTCACATTCAGCTATAACGCGACTTGTTTATTACTTACTAGCTGATAACCCTGCGTTGCCAAGGTATTTATTTATAGGGGGGGAAATGTCCGGACCAAACGTAATTTCTCATGTTTGGATTTCCCCTCTTACCAGACGGAGCCCCCTTGTGGAGTACTGTGGAGCCATTGCCATGGCAACTCCACTGTGCTGCACAGTAGAAGCCATTTTACGACAGTACAGTAGAAGCCATTTGAAGGCACAACAGGCTGTATCTTAACAGAACACACACCCTGAGGGGTGCTAGGGATGTCTTACCCCCCACAGTATTTTTTTTCCAGAGAGTAAGTCATCTGGGCACCAAGTTTGTACCAAGTTGCTTGAGGCGTTGCCATG